AATTGACACTGCCTCGACTCGTGATTTTGATTAACAATGGGCGTTGTGCCAGAGCACCGAGTGGCAATTGAGTTGCAAGGCATTAGCCGAAATCATTGCTTTCCTGAGTGGTGTTACGTAAACCAGCGGTGGCTTTGCTGCTGAAACTCCCAACAGACCGCGGTGGTCCCTCGCTGAGCCCACTTTCTGTGCACGGGCAGTTTCACATCAATGAGCGGCACAGAGAAAGAGAGAGAGAGAACGTTTTACGTGAATGTGCGTTGTGTACGTTGTGATTTCTTTCGCACCGTACGTGGCCAACAGTGCCGATCGGAGGTGCGGGGGAAGGACAACAAAACTAAACGCACAAGAAATTGGGTTCTGAATAAAAAAAATTCGATTGAGATTTGAAAGTGCATAGCTCCAGTGGCTTCCTAATATCGGAAGGAAGAGCGTTCCAGACGGCCGCAGAAGCGCAAATATACAGTGTTTAAAAAGGTTGGACCCGATTTGAAATCGCTATGTCTCTGCACCCACGAACCGCCCATGAATTAAACTCTTACCACTTGAAAGGGCGGGGCATAATGTTTCAAATGATTACCGCTCGATGCCTCTCCCAGCGCACAAACAGCCCCTAGCCTCAGTCATTCGCAAGACACACTGCCTCAACGCTGGATAGGTCGCACGGGACCCCAAGACTTGGCGCTACACTCTTGGCCCCCAAGATCCCCAGACATCACCACACCCTGCGACTTTTTCTTGTGGGGATACGTCAAAGACCGTGTTTTTTGACGATGTTTTAGACACGACAGCTATGTCAGGGCCGAGTAAACGTAAGTTTATGATGCCCCATTCGCCACTGATGTTATCCGTGAGCAGGAATCGAACTCAGGGTTACGGGTTCGCGGTGTTAGCGCGCTAACCACTGCACCACCGATCTAACCACACACAAACCAGTGGTGGATCCATTGATATTTACCAGATTAAACAGACACTGAATGTGCTTTTTAGATCTGACTCTGACACAAAAATCCCCCGTGTGGCCTTAACAGACTGTTGGGGCAAGTGCTGTGAGCGAGCAGCACCTATGAAGGCCGGCACGGTACACGAGGTGGGTGGATAGCCATCACGACTCCCGGCCGCCTTTGTCTCCCTAGTGCATCCTGCACCAGATACTTATTTAAAGCTCAGTCAACCTAGGGGTGGTCTCGGACCGGTTCTGTAATCCAGCACTGATGTTGGCAGTGAGCGGAAATCGAACTCAGGTCACCGGGTTCGTAGCGCAGTGCGCAAACCGTCATCCCACCGCTCCCCACACAAAGACACACACAAAGACACATCCGCACAGTGAAATGCATTTCAAACTCACAAACGCTTTGGCTTTATGAAGGCCCTTAGTGTGCGCGGTATCTCGAAAAAAATGTTTTAAAAAGTTTAAAGACAAAACGTCATGCCAATTTGGGTCCTTCCTGACCAATTAGCAAATACCACAAAAGCCTCGCGGTTGTTTTCATTTCTGGCTGTGGCCATCGGCCACAAAATATCCCAAACACACGAAGGACTTCCACGCCAGTGGGATGACGTTGCCAAGGGGTTCAGCTGCGACTCCTCTCCAACTGCCGCCACAGCTTCACGTTCCGTTGGCGTTTCGCAATGCGGCGCGGCTGAAGAAGTGGTCGCAATGTGTGTCCTTCTCTCGTCCGTCAGGACACGCGCTATGCAGTGCCGCATTAAGCTCGTGCGGGGCCTGTAGCATATGTTATAAAGGGGCCCTAAATGTTTTTTTTATTTAAACACGTAAATTTGTTACTGGCGGTGTAAAGTAATTGTATTTTTAAATCCTTTATATTAAGTTCGCTTGCTTGCTTGCTTGTGTGCTTGCGTGCTTGCTTGCTTGCTTACGACCGTGCAAATCTTTCGGTCGTTTTTTAACCCACTTCCCGTGATCCAATCGAGCTGACATTTTGCACACAGACTCGTTGTGCGTGACAATTAATTTTTGTGAATTTTTTTTTCCAAAATTTTACACTGTTTAGGGAATTTTTTAAAAATATTTAATTACCAAATTGCTTAATGTTGCCAGGCAATCATCTGACCCATAGGTGGCAGCCATCTCAAGCCAGAGGACGAGAGGACTCTAGCCGCCACGCATATAAAGGATTTATAGTGAAAAACTTTGTTTTTACGGGTAAATTTTTTTCATTTGCTGTACGGCCAGATAATACGACAAATCGCTAACCTTAAACACCCAGTCGTTCATAAAAGTTGAAGGCGGTATAGTACTATAGTAATAGAGAAAGTGCAGAATCACTGAACCGGAATCGATAGCTTGAAAGCATTTAGCGCGGGGCCCTTGAAAGTGCGGGGCCCGTAGCTACTTCATATGCAGTAGCTACTACATATGCTACATATGTAGTAGCTACTATATGCTACATATGTTGTAGCTACTAAATATTGACTTGAAACTCTCGTGACTGCAGGAATTCATATTATTGGTTCTTTCAGTAAAGTCACGTAGATAGAAAATTAAATTAAATCATCTCTTATTTCTATTACTTATTATTTAATTTTATTTTCTATCTACATGACTATCCTGAAAGAACCAAGAATATAGTAGCTACTACATATGTAGCTACTTTCGCAACGAGGATAATCCGGCACTGGCTTTATGCACAATGAGACCGTTAGATTTCGTGAAAGTTTGACCCGTGATGTGCATCTGTTTTTGTCTGTTTCAGTAACGCTCTTGCTGAACCCCGACAGCTGGCACGGCAGGTTTGAGCCCACGGTCCTGGTCATCCCGTGGTCAATCCACTGCTGGATTTGCGCGTTCGCGAGATTCCAGTCCAGAGCCGGCGGCACCGCGAGTCGATCTCATCGCTCCGTCTCCCACGCGGAACGCCTCCTCGCGACGCAACTACGTCCCTTGGCAGCCACTCCCGTTATCTATTCCGTGACCCCTCGGCCACCGACCCATACGACACCGTGACGCGTCCTGCCCCAAGCACCACTCTCTTTTTTTATTTTACGATCAGTGGAAACAAGAATATGCTCGGTGTATCGGCACTTTGCTTCGTTCATCATTTCGTAGTTTTTTTTTATTTAAAATTTTAAAACTTGGCTTTATGTAACCCCTCCCCTCTAGCTCACTCTCTCGCTCTCGCTCTCTCTCTCTAGCACCACTCTCACTTCGACGCTCTGGATGATGCCATTAGCCGGCGTGTGTGCTTCTCTCGTCCAAGGGCTCCTCTTCTCTGTCTCCTTCAATGCAGATTCCAAGCGCGCATCTCTCCGTGCCTGGTCCAGGCCATGCGAACGTGGAAGTTCCACCACCGGCTCCAAACCACGAGCGGAAATGAGCGCCCACCGCACTGCTTGTGTGTGTCAGCAATGGGAATTCTGGCGGCGTGCGAGTGCTTTGTATCCTGGTTTCCTCTAAATGGGAGCCATTCAATCTGACATCATGTCCTGTTCACATGCATAGTGCGTGTGTGTCAGTGACTGGCATGCAGGGCATTAGGGTGTGTTAGTGGCTGGATGTGAAATACGGCGAGGTCATGTTTGTATGTGTGTGTATGTCTGTGGCTAGTTGGGAGGCAAGACATTATTTTGATGTGCGTGTTCATGAATAGATAGGATATTAATACGTTAGAATGTGCGTGTGTTATAACAGTTGAATGGGAGACGTTAAGATTTGTGTGCGTGTGTGTCAGTGGCTGGATGGGAGGCAACGTGTTAAGATGTGTGTGTGTGTCATGTGGGGAGCGGCAGTGTACTGGTCAGCGCTACGCTGCGCTACGAACCCGGCCACCCGAGTTCGATTCCCGCTCACGGCCAAAACCAGTGACGATTATCTCCAGCAACAACGGAGGGCAGAGGAGCGACGTTCACAACAACGAGCGGAGCGCCGGGCGGATAAAACGCAGCGAGTTGGCACAGTAGGGGGCACAGGTGGTGCATCAGCCAAATAATCAGTCAACCCACGGCACCCGCTGGGTCTGTCCCGTGACCTCCTGCCAACGAGCCTTCGACACTGCACGTGGCCTCAAATGTGCACCTAGCCTGGCACAAGCACCGTGGTGACGTCATTGCCACTCGGAGAACGGTGGTCGTTGGTTCAGTGGCAGGGCACTGTGTGTGTGTGTGGCAGTGACACTGTGTGTGTGTGTGTCAGTGGCAGGGCACTGTGTGTGTGTGTGTCAGTGGCACTGTGTGTGTGTGTTAGTGACACTGTGTGTGTGTGTTAGTGACACTGTGTGTGTGTGTGTCAGTGGCACTGTGTGTCAGTGTCAGTGGCACTGTGTGTGTGTTAGTGACACTGTGTGTGTGTCAGTGGCACTGTGTGTGTGTGTCAGGGCACTGTGTGTGTGTCAGTGGCACTGTGTGTGTGTCAGTAGCACTGTGTGTGTGTGTCAGTGGCAACACATAAAGGTGTATGTGTGTATATCTGCATAGAAGGCAAGGTAAATCATACGTGTGTGTGTGTGTGAGTCTTAGTTTTTCAATGGCAGGCAAGAAATTAGGATGCCTGTGTGCGCGTCTTGCTGCTTGAATGGAAGGCAAGGCCTTGTTACAGCCGCGTGTCTGAGGCTGAATTGGATGCCTTAGGACGTGCGGGTGTGAGTGAGTGCGCATGTGGTTAATATTGCCCGGCTCAGAGAGAGAGAGAGGGAGAGGCAGCAGGCCCCGCTGATGCACATGGTGGGGTGGGTTGGTGGTGGTGGTGGGGTGCAGGGCGGGAGAGTCGGAGGAAGGAGGAAGGGAGGGAGGGACAGGCGTGTCTCGGACGAGGAGGCGATTCTTGCTTCTAGCAGATGAGCAGCAGCAGTAGCAGCATACGGATTGTGCCGGTGCCTAGTAAGCTGAGCAGCCCTGTAATCCTGACACATCCTCACCGCATCCATTCGCTATCCCAGCCAACACCCCACCCCACCCACACAGTCTCAGCATCCCCCCCACTCCTCTCTCTCTCTCTCGGCCCACCCCTCCCCTCTCTCTCTCTTCTCTCTCCATCCCTCCCTATTCATCACCTTCCTCTCTCCATCCCTGTGTGTGCGCGCGCTGCATCATACACAGCCCGTGTCTCTGCGTCTACGTGCACACACGTACATCAAACCCTACACACACACACGCACGCGCGCGCACATTTACACACACACGCACGTCTATACATTTTACTGTGTACGTAATATATTTCATACAGACGTACACACACGCACAGGCGTACACACACACACGAAGATTCTACAGCTTACTAGGCAATCGGCTATCAAGGCAGTGCCGTGTTCATCAAATGGAGTGAGTCACATTTATGTCATTATACGCATGATCGTTTTGTATTAATTGAGCAATTTGTGATTTCATGCGGTTTGTTTTTATATTTAAAAAAAATGCACACAGGTATAGCGTCTTTTATCGAATGCTATTCTGTTGATGATGCTACCTGTCTGTATACTGTTAACATTATTTTGTAGATCGTACGCACGGAGCCCAGTTACCTTTAATACTGTTGCTATGTTGCCATATCCTGCACCCTGAATAATGTATTTGTATACAACTATATACATTACTGCCTGCACGCCGTGTACATGCATTATTGATACGCACCCGTTCACCATACCGGACTGCACGGATATTTCATGGTTTTACGGCTCGCCTCATCGATAAGCTGAGGAATTACCCGACTCGCGTTTGTCTCCACCCGTGCCGCTGAACGGGAGGTTGATGGGCTAGGCTCGGTGACGTCATCGCCGCGATCAAATGGGCGTGGCTTGTAGGGCGGAGTAGGGGGTTTCCCGCATTCGGGAGTCAGAATTAAGTAGGGGGGCACCAGCTAAAAGTATTAAGGGGGTCCGAGTAGCATCGCTGCCAACCCATTATCAGTGCCTTAGCTGACTACAGATCAAGTCAGACCTCGTTGGTCACCCCGTGCCCCTTATACATCTCGACGTTCATCCGACAGAGTCCCATCACAAGGGAGAAACACAAGCAAATAGACTCTATATTTGTTGCCCGATTTGAAACGGCTGTGCGCCGTATGGACATGAATACTCAATTTCCCTGTGCAAGAATACGGGGTAAATCCTATGGGTTGACAGCTATGGAGTATCTTCTTGGTTCTTTCGGTAAAGTCACGTAGAATGGAAATAATAAAATAATAAAAATAAAACATAATAAAATAATTCTCACGACGTTTCGGCCACAACGCAAGAATATTAATCCCTGCAGTCACGAAAGCTTTAAAATCGAAAGCTATGGAGTAATTAATTAGAGATGGAAAACATTTCATTGAAAATTTTTGGTCGATACAGTAACTATATTACACACTTGCACTGCATGTTTTAAAGCACATTCTACAATAAAACCGATTTCGAAGGGAATACAAATATATAATAGGCGACGTTTCGGGCAATGACCCCTCTTCGGAGCACATAGGACCAGAGAGATTTGAGTGAACAACAGTTGGCGACTGGCACTCGATCACACCAGAGGACCCTGATGAATGTGACCGCTTCTGAAGCTGAGTGCAGTAAAGTTGAAGCGCCCGTCTCCTGCTCGCCACGCACTCCACACTAGCGGCTCTGCACGTTGCGTCTGGCAGCACACACGTGCACAATTAAGCAAGTGCGGGGCTCGTAGCATATGTAGCTACTTGTGCTACTCGGTATAATCCGGCACTGGCTGCACGCGGGGTGATGTGGGAGACGGATGAGCAGTATCGAGAATCCTCGCGTCCGCGATTTGACACCTCTTAACCGCAACACAAAACAAAAACCATCGCCGTTGAACAGAGACGCGTGGGCAGAAACGTCCCGGATAAATGAGTTGATGAGTGTTCGCGTCCTGTCAGCTGCCGCGGGCACAGCTAAGAAGATGCGTCCTGCTGCCGTGTGTCACTGTGCAGTCTGGCAACAAAACAAAACAATCCAGAATGCATATTCTTATGTTTTTTCGGTAAAGTCACGTAGGTAAAAAAATTTAATAAAATAAAAATAAAATAAAATTTATTTTTATTGTATTTTACTTTTATTAATTTAAAATTAAATTATTTTTATTTTATTTTTATTTATTTTACTTTTATTAATTTAAATTTAAATTTTTTACCTACGTGACTTTACCGAAAAAAACCTAAGAATATGAATCCTTGCAGTCACGAAAGCTTCAAATTTAGAATCCAGAATGCACCCCATCTCATCAGACCTCGGAAGCAAATCAAACGAATAATCACGACAATTTTTATCCACCGGTTAGTGCTGTACTAGTGACGAATTGGCACGTTCTGTTTACGTGACAACCCTTACTAGTTGGCTGTGTCGGGTGGTGACGGGTTTAACGACACATTTATATATTTACGCGATCTAACCTCCCCCAAAAAAACCTCTATTATGGATGATATTTGTCGCGAAAGCCTCTTACGTGTTAAACTACAATTTGTATTTTTTTAACCAGGTCAGACCCACTGAACTTCGCAGTATTTTTCGGAAGCCACCTGCCACTCACACATGGCAGCTCAACCCAGCGGCTTTTCGACGTCGTGAGGACGTTCATCGCAGCAGCCCAATATTCAGTCTAAAGCAGAGTTGAGCGATTGTATGTGGGACCACCCCACGCCAAGTCTACAGGTGCTAGAGGTTACTGCCGTTGCGGTACCGTGCAGTGTGCAGCAGAGGGCATTGCAGCAAAACAACATTGTTGTGTTGCACTTCTATGGCCCCCCCCACCACCACCACCACTACGCTCACGATCACCGGCTCCACCATGTCTGGTTCATCCAACAGTGGATATTCATGACATCTCTCGTGTATTAAAAAAACAATTATACGTTTAAGTATCCCATTATTAGGTGAGCATATATTAGCGCGTGTATTTCATGCGCAAGCGACGCTGTTTGGAAGTAGAGTGTGTGCTTACAAGTGGGTACAGCTTGTGCTGGTGATATCGATGGACATTGCAGTTTGCATGCTGTGTGGGTGTTTTTCACTGCACATGATATATGCCGAATGGCTTTCCGTTGTTTTATGCTAGTAGGGTATAACTTACGAGGCGTTCATACCCAAACACACGCTGCCTTTCTTGCGTGTGCGGTATGCACTCGATGTTGAACTTCCTTCACGCCGTACGTAGCCAACCGTGCTAATTGGAGGCGCTGCGTTTGATCCATCGCTTGCGAAACGTTGAGTGGTATCCCCTCGTACGCATGGGGGGTTAATCTCCGGGTTCTCGTCTTTCCAAGGTTTCATATTCTTAGGTTTTTTCGGTAAAGTCACGTAAAATAAAATACAAATAAAATAAAAATCACGACGTTTCGGAGGCAACACAAGCTTCCGTTTTCAGGTGGAATCGTCACAGGACGATAGCTGTATCAAGTAAATGAAAACTAATTCATCGTCACAACACGCTTGCTGTATCAAGTAAATGAGTTTTTCATGTGATGTGGTGTTCTAATTATGTCATCCTGTAATATAGTACACGTAGGTGTGCATGCCTGGTGTGAGAATAATTATATTGGCATGCTGCTTGTGTTCAGTACAGCAGTATCCATAGTGTTCACGGGTGTGGCTATGGTGATTTGTTTTATTTTATTTCTACCTACGTGACTGAAAGAACCACACAGTGTGATTATGGTATAGAGAGTATTGGAATGCACAACAACCTACACTCTCTATGCAATGCATTGGCAGCAAGGCTGCAGTGTTTATATGGGATGTATGGCTTGTGTATATATACAAATACAGAATTTGTATCCGTAGGCTCCATGGATGTGATTATACATCGGCAGTCTTCACGGATGTGGCTATGTTATATTGGGGTGCAGTATGCGTTAAGATATTCGCGGCACGGCTGATGTTGTGCATTGAGTTGCTTGTGTGTGTGTTGGGTAACGAATATCCGAACCGGTCCTGGGACACGCCTAGGTCGACTCAGACTTAAACGTGAACCTAGTGCGGAGTGTGATAACCATCAGCGTTGGGGAGACAAAGGTGGCCGGGCGTTATCCAGGCCGGTGCACCTCCCACTCCTCGTGCGCCATGCCGGCCTGAGTAGGTGCATACAAGCAGCACTTGCCCCAGCGCTCCGTTAGGGGCTATATGGGGGATCTTTGTTTTTTGCTTGCGTCCACCCGTGCGCGTCGTCAATTAGCATGCACGCCCGTGCTGCCGCTGCTGAGGCATGGCATGGGTGTGGTGACTCCCATAGGCAGCAGCAGCATCCACCTCCACCACCATGCACGCGCACACACACACACGCAGCGTGCATCCATTGTGCACACAGGGATATCCCACACACAAAAACAAAGATCCCCCGTATAGCCTGTAACAGACTGTTGGGGCAAGTGCTGTCAGTGAGCACCTATGAAGGCGCAAAAAGGCCAGCACCACGCCCGGCCGCCTTTGTCTCTCCAGTGGCGATGTTGACACACCGCACAATGTACTCGTTTGTGGCTGAGTCGACCTAATGGAGTCCCAGGACCGGTTCAGATAATTACCACTGATTTTGGCCGTGGGCGGGAATCGAACTCGGCTCGCCAGGTTCGTAGCGCAGCGCGCTAACCGCTACACTACCGCTCCCCACAACGCACAGCACACACAGCACACACGCGCGGGCAATACCACCACGCAACACAAACACGTAGACCCACGTGGTCAACGACATGACGCAATGCACAGCTTACCCAAATTGTGCATAGCATCACACACACACAGAATACGAACATGGGTGTGAGTCTGGATTAATTTATATAATCTTGGATAAGTATGAACATACTTTAATCCTACACTGGGGATATGTTCTACAATTTTTTGGATGAATGCAAGGAAACAAATTAATTCAGATAATAAAATTGTGTATGCTAATGTTTTTTTTCGGATTGCTCAGAAAATGCGACATCGCTTCTATTACATAATCTCTGTGCTAGCAATAGTCATTGAATAATAACGTCAACTTGTTACGCGCTGCCATCGCATGGAATTCACTCCTCGCACTCGTAGAGAGACAGAGACAGAGGACGACTCAGAGGCGCTCGGAGGAGGAACCACAAGCGAGCTTAGGGAAGGCAGCAGCAGCAGCCAGGCGGTGATCTGGCGCTACCAATAATTGCCCGAGCTCTCCTGTCCTCTACATATGAAGATGTTTTCAGCGAATCAATGAGCATGTGGCGGGGATCCGGAGCACTTGGAGAAAACCCACAGCGTGCGAGGGAGCAACGCTCGATCCCTCGCCTGGTGTGCAGGAGGTCGTGCGTTAGATCCCAACAATTCGAGTACGACGTTTCGCCAGTAATTACAACTAGCTTCATC